GCAAACGACCCATCGGTGCCTTCACGAGCCTGTTTCACACGGTGCCGTGCACCATGGCGTGGTGAAGTGCCGTGATTAGTGTACGCGCAAGCGAACTATAACTCCAATCCCGTGTGTTTGCTGCAAATTTCCGAAATTTATTTCTCAATGCGTTACTTGGACAACGATTGTACATATAATCGAATGCCTGTACGCACTGCTTCGAAAGGCTGCACTGTAAGCAAAAACTATCCGAGTTTGGGATTTTTCCGGCTCATGACCTCTGAAAACTCCTTTGCGTTTAAAATTACTACCTCGCGTAGGAGTAAAAGATGGTACATGACATAGTTTTACCACCACCTCTCAGGCAAGTAGTAAAAGGATGTCAAAATCCAGTTTTACCACTTAGGGAGTTTTCTATCACGTGATTTTTAACCTGCGTTTCAGAGTTTATTACCACGGGACTGCAAGGTGCAGCTGCTTCGGCGGCTTTTGCCCCAAACCCCCCCTTGTGACGCTCTCAGTGAATACTGAAGGTACGCGAAGCCCACAGATGTTTTTTTTGTTTTTTTGTTTTTTGCATCGCCGTGCCTCTGGACTGACTTCGAGTCAGCGCACTTTTACTGGAACTGGGGGCAGCATAAGCACAACAAGCGAGAACAGCATTCTTTGAAAGAAAAAGACGGAGGGGGGGGGGGGGCTCTCAAAAGAGAAAAAAAGAGAAAGAAAACCTGCTGTGGAAAGTTGTCCTGCATATTTTCGCATATTGTTGCTTTTGCTCGGCGGTGGCTTTGGAGACAGACAGTGCAAGAAGCTCGGTATCTGTGTGTCTGGCTGGGCTGATAAATCTCACGTGTTTCCTACATCATCGAGCGACCGTGCTCTTCCGAGCGCCTCCGAACCTGCACGTCGCGGATATCTCCTATTCGCGGATAACTCCAGATCTGCCAGTGGTAACAAAATCAATCTGGTGTCGTCGTCCGTGCTTGCCTGCTGGAGAAGCAATAAGCAAAATGCTTCACTCTGTCGTCGGCACCGAGCCGCGGCCACCAGTGACCAGTGGGAGTGTGTCGCCGGGGCAGGTGAAAGAAGCATCGCATTTATTTTGTTCCACAGTAGGCGATGTCTGCACGAGTAAAGTGCTGCCCGAATTGCCCACCTCATGCACCAACTGTTCTCAAACATGTAGCACGAAGCCGATAAGAGGCAGACGGAACCAACAAGCGGCGGCCGGTGAGCACGAAGAAAACCCGGACTTGCCCGGATGGTGGTCTTTCGTTGGAAGTATGCATACACCACCCCGTCTCCGCAAGATAGCGGTCACGCGTTCATTTGTGTCTGAAATGACGACGAAATTCGCACAGGATATATGTTCTGTGATCGCCAGCCGTGTTTCATCGGATAGCCGTGCTCCTCGAAAAGGCCTAGAACGCCCTCGGTAAGAAGCTTGTGTGCAGGCGTGCACCGCTCCTCTACGCCCGTTGTGATGAATACGTGCTGCTACTGTGTTTGTGCACCGTCGCTCAATCAAAATCATTGAGCTACCATGATTTGTGTGTAATTAGGTATATTTTATGGACTTGTGCATCAGCAGTGCTAACATGCGTGGGGCAAAGAGCTCGGTGTGCCAAGAAATTATTGGATAATCAAAAAGGTGAGATCGTGTAGATTTATAATAAAAGGTCGGTGTGACATTTAGTGCGCTGCAGCCCACCTGAAGCTTACGCTTGCACCTTCAAGCGTTGTTGTTAATCGATGGAAAAAAAGAGCTCTCCTACCGGTACTACTTGGCCGGTGAAAAAGTCGTGCCTATATATACACCGGATTGTCGAAGTGCAGTTGAGCAACGCGTGCAGTCTGTTCTAGTGGTGTATTATTCTGCATTTGTTGTGTGTGCGTGTTTGTATGTGAATCTATGTGTCACCAATTCTGCCGTTCAATAAATTCAATCAGTCCTGCTATTCAATAAATTTGTCGTTTCTGGCCGAATGCACCCGTCAATTTTTATTTTTTTTTACCACCAGAAATAACTCCCAGTAATCACCTCAAAAACCTTGTGAAGGTAGTAAAAATTTACTCTCTCTATACTCGCTGAAAACCTCACTGGGGTAAATATTTACTACTCTCCCTACGTTCAAAAACTCAGTTAGCACGAGAGTAAATTTTTACCTCGATAGGAGGTGGTAAAAAAAACCCAGGAAAGGTAGTGCGCTAGAGGACAAATGGTTTACCCAGTTTTTGAGGTTATTTCAGGTCATTTTTGTTTAGTGTGTGTAAGTCAATTGAAATCTGCTTTTTCTTTTCTTTTGCGCGAAATAACTGTTGCTCCCTTGAAGAGTAACTGCAAGAGCGTGGAGTAACTTCCCGTTACTCTCAAAATAAAGTAGTTGGTGTGGCATGATAGTTAACACCACTAAAAGAGCGACCTCAATACCCCCTCTTCCGTCTTTTCATATGCGATTATGAGGCGCAATGATTCGGACCAGGCGCACACAAACACACTTGACAGTGACATACTTACGGCAGTTTGACTATTGCATTTTTTACGAGTCGATCATTAGGTATATTGTTTTTTTTTCTTACCGCACGTAATTGCCAAGATCAGTAGCATTCCACGTGTCGTCATAAACGCATCTCCTTGAAACACTGTTACTACAACACTGCTGTTTTGATTACGTCAACGCAACAACGTCACGGTTAATGGGCTTCAATGCGATAACAATGCGGCTGGAACGTAACTGGCCTCTGTGCCTGGATATATCAAAATAGCCTGCGTTTCGTGTGCTGGTGACATTTATGTGACATCACGAATTTCGCGTCTTACCATATTAAGTGATTTGAGTGACGTCTGTCCGAGCCATTTATTCCCTCGCAGGTTTCACTTGAGAATGTTACGCATAGAATTCTAGGCCATATGGTCTCATAAATGTATAACCAGAGTCCTTCAAAACTCTGGTACAACAAAATAGAAATTTGGCGCTAGTGTCTCCGGGAGCTGCAAAGCATGGAACATAAACCAGGTCGAAAATAATGGTTGTACATGGCTTCACCCAGGTTTTGTTCTCTCCACTCCATGTGGTCTGCAGCCCCTTTACCGAAAGACCAAAATTTAGCACAAGTTCGGCAGTCCTGACCACCTGAACAATTTGACTCTATTAGGCCCACCGATTCAAATGAGGTCACGTGGTTCACGACGATCTATTTTTTTTAATCTGGAACAGAAGCCGAAAAATTACTACAATACAAAACCGCAAATGCTTTCGAAGCTGCAAGCATTAAATTCATATACTACCCACCATGGCGCTGAACAATCGGATCGCCGCAGTTTCGTATCGTAAACGTTGTAGTTATCTGATTACGAACACCACGTTTTTAAAGACGATAATCTTTCTTGGGGACCTTCGACAAAAAAATTTTCGTCCGTCTGTCTGTACATTTGTCTGTTTGTCATCGTTAACGATACCTCAGACGGCCGACCCCATCCGCAGCGCCCTCCACTATTGCTCAAGTTTTAGCGTTCATATTGTGCGATTGTCAAATAAGAAGCAATTGTTTCGCCTATCTGAGGTACTACAACAACACGTCGATGTTTTGTATGTGTGCCTTTATACTAGAGAAAGCACACACAAGTAATTCTAAGGAACGTAGCGTCAAACACACTGCACTGGCAGTGTGACGCGATGCTCAAAAAGGCAAGTGTTACCAACGCTTTGCTAGAACGGGTCGGTGGTGGCACCTGTCCGTCGCTTTACGTTCTACACCTTATCGCCTCCGAGAATGGCACGCACCTTTCTTCGCCAGCGCGCATGCCTTCCTTCGTTTTCGAAGATAAATGCCAGATGGCGCTCGTGTATAACGTGCCTCGATGTGCTCGTTCGCATCCGCTACACGCTCGAGGCACTCCAACTCATGCAGCGCCTACAGAATACCATTCACCAATTTTATTGCGCAGAACACCAAATAAATGTTTTGTTCACTCTCTCCGGGCGCAAGACTACCGTCTTTCGACGACATTTGCAGATTACATGCAGATCCGGGGCCGCTTTTTAGATGCGAAGTAGCTTATGGCGGAGTTCGATTTGGTCGAGTGCGACGGGACCACCCTTACAGCGAATGCGCAATAGCTGGCCCGAGCGGGTTCGTGCCTGCGTTAGTGACTGTGTAAGAGAGCACTTCCACATATAAGGATCCACTTGATATGTTATATATGGTGTGTCCGTGCCTTATTAAGCCTGGATTTGACTCCTTATATGGGCCAACCGCGTTATATATGGCTGTATATAACCCCACACATGAACCGACTCCGCCAGATATACATCCATATATGGTAAATAGAAGCCACATATGCTGACATATATGCTTATATGTGGCCACATATAACTTATATATGGGCCATGTATGGCGTTTCCGTAAGGGTAGCGTTAAGTCCCTTGATATAGAAAGTACCGACACTCTCCTCCATATCCTCTCCGAAGTGGGCAACCCTCCTCTCTCAAGTGTGCAAACCTTATTTATATCCTCTCCTGAATGGCCACCGTGCGGGCACCGGCCCTGTCACTCCGCTCGCGCCACTTTCCTATATATCAGGAATGTTATGTCACGCTGACAACACGCGCGATGTTTGTGGCGGTCCGAGAGGTGAGAGAGGAGGATGCGCGGTGAGGCGACTCGGTTAAAAGAATGGCGGTACTTTCCTAAAAATATCCCGGGAATTTAGCGTGGCGTGCTCTAACAGGAGTTCGCAACGAGTAACGGCCACAGAAATTACAATGGCGGTGTGTTCCACTTGCTATAGGACGCGTTAACATCGGGCAAGGTGGCCGTGATGAACGGTACCTTAGCCCTGATTCGCATGCTAAGGTTTAGCGGCAGTTGGTGTAATTTTTTATTTGAAGTGGGGTGTTAATAAGGTGTTGAAAATGTGTTTAGTATGATACGCAGAAGCGGTTCGTGCTTCCCCAGTACTGAACATACGGGGTGTGAATTCGCATTCTGCCAAAGAAACACAAATACTGCAAGCATTTTTTTTCCATGAGTTCTTTTTTTTTCACCCTCTTTTTAGTCGCTCTTATGTACACAAAGAATGATGTGAGGAACACCAGAGTTGATTTTTTTCTTTCACCGGCAAAGCAGCGGCACAACTGACGATTGTAGCGCCCCCGCACAGCACTCCTCGGTGTGATTTGTTGCTTGCTTTTGATCCGCTGTTCCTTCTTTCGCCGGCCATTATGTGTCACGCACTGTCCGTTGCACAAAGACTGCGGCCTTAATTCTCTCTATCGACTCGGTTGAGGTGGTGTGTAGTGCACTCGCGAAATATTCATACCAAAATTCTCCAGCGAGCCCAGTCGACAGTATATACACCGTCCGATGCCACAAAAGAAAATGAAATAAAATTTTTGAGCTCCGCCAAACAGCGATAGGATTACGAGGAATGCCCAAGTGCACGTATATTAATTTTGACTACGTGGGGCTTTGCAAAGAGCGCCCTAGTTTGGGTAAACACGGACGTTTTTGCGTTTGCTCCATACCGAAATGTAGCCGCTAATAAAGGCCGTACGCTCGTGCCTAGTTGCTATAACAGTGGCCGTCAACCAATAGAAAAACAAGACAAAACTACGTGACTTCGCTGCGACAAGTGAATTTGCATCAGTGGACGACAGGTGGCGCGCGATGTTGGCTGTTCGATTCTACATTGGATTCACACTTGAGTCGACTATTAAGCTCGACAAATAGTTTCGACATTAGAATTAGTTGTATTTAAAAGTTGCCGTCAGCTGGGCTCGTGGCTTCTTTTCTCCGGCTGCCACATCGTCTTTGCGTGGAGTGAGAGCCAAAGATAGAAGGGGGGGGGGGGGGGGGGTGGAAGATGAGAAAAGACAGCGCGGCAGGCGGGCTAGGCAAGGCAGGCCAGCAGCTTGTTTTCGTCCAAAGGGCGCACATTCCGGGGCCACTCCCTAGACGGGAGAGGAGGAAGGAGAGGGGCTGTCTCCGAAAATTTGATAAGGAGAGGAGGGGAGTGGATCCACGCCGCCGAGCTCAAGCACACGCGCACACACGCAAGGTCGTTTTCGTCGAGGCAGCGTCGGCGCCTTTCGCCATCTTCCGCGATGAACTGTCGCCGACACCGCCGCCGCTTGAGGGCAGAGATCGAATTCTGGAGGAGGAGGAGCGATGCCCGCGGAAAGAAGAGAAGGGTTGAGGAGCAGCCGCTCGCTTGTCTGTCAATGGCCGAAAACGAGGTACCGGGTCAGTCTGTGCGCTGCAGTGTCGTGCACGGTCACTCTCGCGGGCTGCGCCCGATTTGCTTCCCTTGGTGTGGTGGTGAACGTCTGATTCCGTTCCGGCCTCCAAAGGGGTTCCAACCGCGAACAGTTCTTACCTCACAACCCGTCATCTCCGCTTGTTTCTCATTTGCTCGAAAAAGATGGAAAAAAAAATTACGTGGCTATGAAAGTTCAGCATTGTGGCTTTGCTCATATTCCAAAGCTGCCCTCGCTCGAGGCTCGTCTTGAACCCGCGGTTGGGGAAAGCATTTCCTTCCACGCCTTAAGCCTCGAAGAGCGAGAGAAACAAGAAAAAAAATGACGAACACGCCATAGAAATTGTGGAAAACATGAGCAAAAAAAAAAAAAAGAAATACACGATAGTTCCTTAGAGTCCGCGTATTATATTTCCCGCTGTTGCCCAACCATCGGCGCCGTTCACTCGGCTTCTCAGCTTTCGTTCCGTGCTGCGCGCCAGATAGCGCCACCGTCACCTTTTCTTGCGACGCACGCGTGGTAGTGGCGGCTTTGAGAGAGAGGCACTCTCTCTCCCTGGGTTTCTCTCAGGGGGATGGGCGGTGCTGCGCAAGGTGACGTCACCAGACGGGCGTTTCGCTGATTGGCGGGTGGTTGAGCGGGGCGAAGCCGCTGTCGGCGCGCGAGGGCGCCCCGTAGGGCTCGCCCCCCTGCAGGCTGAGCACGGCGTCGGGGCTGGGTCCGCCGCGCGGCTGCGACGACGGCGGAGGCTGCAGGTAGGGCGCGTCCGAACCCAGGTTTACGCTCCCTGCGACAGATGCGAATATTGAAAAAATGAGCACGCAATACATTATACAGGCCAGATGAATGTTCGAACTACTCTTGGAGCACTAAGTTCACGATTCCAGCCGTCATCGGGTCTCTTAGCGAAAAATCAGAAGATATACAGCACCAGCTTGCAAACCAGTTAGCTTTACTGTACATTTAGAGGCTGAAATAGAAGAAAACAAAGGTGCAATGGACAAAACGAAGTGTGCGTGGTTTTCTTTTTTTTGTTGTTGTTGTTGGCGAGACAATTGGAAAGACGTAGTGCGGTGACTGCATGGTCGCACATTAGGAAAACGCAAGCCTTAAAGTAGCATTCCGGTATAACAATGAGCATCGGCTACTAAGAAAGATTCCGTTTTTATAAAGTTTAAATGTGGTTAGTCTACCGTGACTCCAATGAAAGAGTAAAAATCAGTTGCTAATAACTCTCGTTGTTCGGCAAAGATGTGCATTGCTTTAGAAAAAACTGCTAGATCCACGCGCACTTTTTCGTTTGATTGTTCTCTGGGACTTCTCCTCTTCCATATACGGAAACCGTTCTGTCACAAGCCTCCGACATGGACGAATAGAAATAAATTAATGCGCATTGGTGCGCCGCCATCTGCTCCTGTGTGTCCGACGGTGATGTACGACTTTATGTGGCAGCGTCATAGAACAGCACCACCGAATGAAAGCGGCTCACGTTCGTCCCACAACACCTGTCTATACATACCGCATTCCTTTAGTGTGCCATGTCATGAACGTATCGGTTATATATAATATCAAGGTGCCTATTTATTCGCAAAAGGCTGCTATACCGGGTGACACCGAAATCGATTAGGCCACAAGAAACACACATATTACTGGAGTTCAGTCCTTGTTTGCCGGATACATATGAAACTAATCAAGTAACGATACCATACAGTCAGTGCGTAACTATAACCGCGAGTTACAGCATATGGTGAGAACGACACCGACTCTTCTTATCACATACACACTAATACGTCGTTGACATACCTGGTCCGGAGTGCGAGTCTAGGGGCCCCCCTGAGCCCTGACCCTGGGGTCCTGATCCCGTGGGAGGGAAGGGCATGCCGTCGGGTCCCGGCGGAGGAGGAGGGGGAGGAGGTTGCTGACCCGGAAAGAAGTCGTAGAAGCCCGCCTGGGGACCGTAGCCGAAGTCGGCCGGGTTCGACGAATCTGCGAAGAAACGATTACAGTATTGTTATTGTGTGATGACGTGGAGGTGTATATGTCAGTGTGCACCTCTGTCTTCAAGTTTTTTTTTCTTTCTCAATTTACAACTATATAGGCGCTCGAGGCCCGTCAGCGCAACTCTGTTTTTCGATTGTCGTGAAATATGTAAACGTTTTTTTTTCCCACGCATGCTTGTACGTATACATACAAGTATGGCAGTATACTGACAGCACGGATATATTTAGAAAATATTGCACTCAGAGCACAAAGGTTGCATCAATAACGTATCAGTGAATTCTTAGAAAAATGAAGGTGTCAGCAGCGATCGAACACATTGAAGCAGAAGTCTGCACAGAAGTCTGGCCTGAAATTATGCTATAAGATTTAGCCAACAGAAAAACCAACGCATCCGCTCACGAATTTTATTGCGATAGCAATTATATGGACACTCTCTGCTGTATTTTGCCGCCGGCGTCGACATCGCCATCACTCACCGCATATATATATATATATATATATATATATATATATAATATATATAACTCACCGCATATATATATATATATATATATATATATATATATATATATATATATATATATATATATATATATATATATATATATATACGCGAGAGAGAAATCAACGTTTATTTAGAAACAGTGTTCCGAGCGAGGCCTGGTGTCACCATAAGGTAAGAGGGTTCCCTAGTCCAGGAACAAAGGAAGATAAATAATTCAGAAGACTCCAGCAAGCGGAATAGAACGTAGGACTTATGAGTCATGAGCGCAAGGCGTCAACCACTGAGCCACCGAAGAGCACCTCATTCAACTATCCAATGGCAACAACCTATATATATATATATATATATATATATATATATATATATATATATATATATATATATATCGAGAGAGAGAGATGAGACACAACTTAGCACTTGTCTTCATCAGGGTTTGCGTACAATATATATATATATATATATCTGGTGACGGGCATCTTGGAGGCCATAAAACTACTATCGTGTTTTCCGCATTACCAACGAGATGGCGCAATCAGCGCGCGCTGCCAGATTTTCACGACGCGGTTGCGCTCTCTCTCATCTCCCACGCGTACTTTGCCTCGCGGAGAGGGGACGCTCTCGCGAGCGCTCATGTATCTCGCGGTAGGGACAATCGTGCGCTTAAGGTTCTCACCGTAACGATTCTGTTGTAGCTACCGGTCGCACAATGGTCACTGCAGTTGTAGCACAGTCTCTGTTTGCGAAAAGGGCTCGCTTTTCGGACACAGCAAAGTATAACAGCTGAGACAATTATTCGCGTTCATATACATGGGAGTACGTTTCGTGCGTCATTTGTGCGTGAGAAACGCGGGGCACGTTTCGATCTGCTTTCATTTCTGCGCGTGACCTTCCAATTTGCTGCTATCGCGTTCATTGCTTCGTCTTTACGGCAAAGCTACGACGTTTTACAGCGAAAGCTGTTATGAGATCGAAACTCGGGTCACGCGCCGCTGTAGTTGTCCGTCGCCGCTGGTGTCCGTAACCACATCGCACGAAATTTAAAAAAAAAAACTAGCACAAGTGACACAGTGGAGGTCGAACCCGGATCCGCTGGGTACAAGCCCAATATTCTACCACTGGGCCACGCCGATGCTTGGGACCTGTTGGCAAACTTGACTTAGGCAGGCTTGATGTCGGGAAAGCAATCACGTTTATACGACTTATAAAGCGTTTTAAAATAGCGAAACAACAACGTTTCAGTCATCGCACAATGCGAATAACGAGTGTGCGTTCTAATGCTCCAACCCATTACAAAAACTTGTTCTTGTTCACCTTTACTAACTGTGGCGGATATCCGCCTCCAGGCATAATTCCTCATCGTCGTCGGCGACAGCATGAACAATTGGCACTAAACTCCTTGCAACTATTTAGCGGATATCACGCTTCTCAAAAAAATGAAAAAGGATATATAGCAAACGCGGGCCTACTAGCCGAAAATGTTTATAATTAATGCCGTAGTGGGTATCAAGCAAGTGTGCTTGCAGCAATTGAGTGTTTAGAAAACGCTCTGAGAGGCCAGTCTTTTAGCTTTCACTGTGACTGAGCTGCTCCTTCCGCACGTGACTGCTATTTTTTTTTGTAATCAGTTTCGTTCCTATTATTTTACTGAACGTGATAATTATCACGCCGTATAATAATAATAATAATATTAATAATAATAAATAACTGGTGTTTAACGTCACAAAACTACCATATGATTATAAGAGACGCCATAGTGGAGGGGAGCTGATCATGCCGTTGTGTTCAGCACACTGAACGAAATAGTTTCGGCTGCACTGTTTGCTCCCTTCTCATATATGCACAACACGAGTGGCCATTTACGGCGCCATTTTTTTTTTCTTTCACGACATACACAGCGAACAACCCCCTCTCGTATCGAAAACATTAAGAATAAAAACGTAAATGAAATATCCCTCTTCCTTCATTATAGATCACCAGGCACACATAATTACGTCACTCCGTAACAAACTAATCAGATGCGATCATGATGCCGCTATAAACATAATTTACCCACGCGGTACATAGGCGCTACCGATCCTGCTCGTCTGGTGTATTATAAATGTTTCTGCCACCAACAACATCGAAGTTTACTGGCTCACACCTGTGGTGGTGTGGAACAACAGAAATGTTCTTAGTATCATTGTATACGTTAAATTGACGGTTGTAGAAGAGAGAGAAAGAGAAAGACGTGACATTGCGGCCGGATATACCGAGAAGTTTTTCCGAGCGACAGAGATGCTTTATTGCGACACTGTAATTGCACTCTGCGGAGCTAATTGCATATATTATGTTAGTGCTTGCGCGTTTTCTTATTTGATGGGCTTTCTTAAGCCGCGAAAATTACCACGCAGTCAGCATACGTTTTGAAAATATCAGCACTTGCATGATTTTAAACATGCCTATGTGTGAATCAATGACAATTTGACAATTAGGATAGGATTCGTCGTGTTAACGTTTGGTTGTTACTAATTATATAAACCTACCAAATTAAATCAAAAGAACTAGTAGTTTCGGTCTATTCGGGATATTTCCTATATATGGTTGCTTTTTGTAACGCCGTTCCTCCTATTTTAAAAGTGTTACAGCGCGGCATCGTGGTTAAACGCCATATATTATTCTAATTTATCTCCCCCCTCTTCCTGCACGAAAGCTGTTCACATATTTTTCGTTTATCGGATGATACACAAGTCGAATTTCATTCGGCATTTGCAACAACGCAGAGGAACTTAAACATACACAACAATTCATGGACGAGAAAGAGCGCATGCCATTTGTGCTGTGCTTTTCTGGTGCACAAAGAAACAAAGACGAAAAGCGACACAACGCTGTGTCCGTGTCGCTTTTCGTCCAGGTTCCTTTGGGCGGCGCTGCAGGAAATAAGTGAGACGTTCTTGGACATTGTTCTTTTACCACTGTGCAAGACGCGAACCATATACGCTCTTCAAAGTATATATATATATATATATATATATATATATATATATATATATATATATATATATATATATATATATATAAGAGTTACAGAAGTACGAGGAAACATCGAAACACAGGCTGAGGACACGTACTTTACCAAATATGCACAAGGAAGTACTGGCAAAGAACTGCAAAATCAACGTTATTCCAAGGGACAACTGCGAATTAAACAAAAAGCATATTTGTGACATACCACAGAAACAAAAACTTAATGGGACAATGTCCAAAGGGTGCACACTGCAGGTTATCTGGCATAGCCTTCCGCTGGACGGAATCGAGTTTATCATTGTCATGTACAACATGAGGTAACCACATAGCTAATGCGTAATAATTGTTGGGGTTTCACGTCTTAAAACAACGATGTGATCAGAGAGACGATGTAGGAAAGGTTCCGGAATTTTCGACCACCTTGGTTCGTGCTCCACAGACAGGCCTCTCTCTACATAGCATTTCTCTTGCATCGAAAAAGTGTCAGCCGCAGCCGCAATTCGATCCCGCGAACAGCAGGCGGGCACTGTAAACACTACATCTGCGGTGGGTGACCACGCGGCTGGTGCATATAATCAAGACGAGGCCTGACCAACGATTTAACGGGAATGTCCTTGCAACACCCCCGTGGCCACGGAGACGCTGACAACGTCCGAAAGACAACGTCGTCGACTCCCGACAAGAGACGACGCGGCATTGAGGTCCACCGCGTGTATAGGAAAGACGTCATTCGCGGTGACGCGGGCGCATGAGTGAGATATTCGGGTCAACCGCGTCTCCGCCTGTATAGACAGCGAGGAGTCCATGCACAGGAAAGACACGTGTGCACGTGTGACACACGTCCAGTCAACGAGTGACCGTCGCCGGCCGTCATACACCTACGCGTGACGAAGGACACGACGTATAAGGGGGGGGGGAAGGGGGGGAGCTATAGATACTCTAAAGAAAGTGACCTTAGACCCTTTTTTTCGTAAATCCTGACCGGCCAGAGGCCGCGTGCGTGATTCTGCTTAATCGGTTTAGTTTAATAAATCGTACTCTGACAACTCTAATGCCGTCGTTTCACCACCACGGGTCTGGATAGTGGAGGAAATCGAGTTCTAAGTCTCATTTTTTCGATTTCGCGCTAAAATTGCAACGAGTGAGGCCCCTGAATAAAAAAAAAAACGTTTATGTATTCTAATTTGGAGTCATTGGCTCCGCAGAATTCATTCAAACTTGGAGGATAACGTACTTTATTTTCACCATTAAGAACAACGTAGGCGCAAGCAGGCATGACGATAGTTACAGCGCGAGAACAAAACGACGACACAGAGACAAGAAGGACACGAAAGACACGCCCTTCTTGTCTCTGTGTCGTCGTTTTGTCCTCGCGCTATAACTATCGTCATGCCGTACCAACTAGCCCAAGCTGCCACATTTCTACGCAAGCAGGCGCCATCAAAATATGCGACGTCACGGCGAATGGTGCGGCGAC